TTTTATATATATTTATATTAAACGCATAGGAGTATAATATCTGTTTTGATTATAATAGAAAGATAATTCAAGAAGCCTTTTAAAAAAACAACTTTGTTTATAACCTTGTATTATAAGAAATAGACAAATATAATATGCGCAGTATATGTATATAAGACAAGTGAAAAAAAATTTTTTTGCACTAAGTTTAATATTTAACACCGTCTGGTTTTTATAAGTTTTAATATCAACACACAATTTTTTATGTAAGCTAATGTTTATATAATATTGACAATTTGATGACCACATTTTGAGTGTGCAGTATTATTCTGACGTTGGCATAAATATTCATAATTATCTATTACTTAAAYTTATGTTGATTTTCCATGAATATACATTTTTTTTTGGCATATAAATGTGTTCCTAAGTGAGCTATAAATGCATTTATTGACTTAACGAACGATACACCACACATTTTTATTGAATATTTTTTGCATATTTATTGATTTATTAATTAAAAGTACTTATTTATTRGTTTTGAAATTGTTCAACGCATAATTTTATGATAAAATAAAAGTTGTATGAAACAAACATCGATTAAAAACTTGGCAGATAATTAAAAGCATTGATTAAAAATCATATTCTAGCACCTGTTGTGGTCGTGCTATGAACAATTCATGACATCAATAACGTATTTATGTTATTATACCTACTTAGAAATTAGAAATATGTAGGTTAGTAGGTAGGTACCTATAACCTATTATCTACTATACCTACGTATCTATATTTCAAATTGATAGAAGAATAATTAAAGATTAGAGAATAGTTTTAATATTAAAATTTTAAATTTAGTAATTAAAGTCTAGCACTAATTGTCCTGTAGGATATAACAGTCTGCTCATCACAGATTGACAGATATCGTGCAAATCACAAGCAAATATTTATTGTAATTTATCATCCGTACATAATAATATTATTTTAACTCAGTCGACCCCTTCGTTTTGCGGGTAATCTATGCAAGCAAAATAATTTAATGTATAATCATTTCTATAAATGTGTCGTTAATGACGTTTTATTAAAATAGGGTCGACTTTATTATTTGATATAGGTGTCTACTACACACTATTACATGTTATACTGCAGATTTAATAAATAATAAAACTCCATCGCATTGTGAATTGCGACAAGTGCGACAGTATATTATATCCACACCTCACCTGTGCAATGACCTTGATTAAGCTTTTCAGCACTCAGATAATACATACCTATGTATATACATATATATCATTGTTTTCAATTTTAGACACGAATACGTTAATTTATGTCCCTCGCCGACCAGATGATAATATTATRATTTAATATACGTCTGTGTGGTGTGACCTACCTATAATATATATAATATTATTATGACGTTCCGTTCACAACGCGTAATGTAATATTGTACTATACCTACCTAGGTACCTACTATTACAGGTGGTATAAATTATAATATTRTATATAGTCGCGTAGTTCTGTGTTAGTTGGAGAGATCAACGACGACGACGGTCGCGCGCGGTATTCTACGCGTATAAGCAGTTAGTCTCGGACCTGTGACGTGTTTGAAAACTGTGCCGGCATTATAATAGTATATATATTATAATATAGTCTTGTACCTCTATACCGACCTGGACAACGATGGGTTATTAATTCTTAGTCATTCGTGTTTTCTCTAGCCCTTTGTCGTTTACCGCCGCTGGTTTTCAATTAATTACTAAAAAACTAAAAACAACAGTATAACGAGTGCATTTTAAACTAAACTATATATATTATATGTATAGTGATGGCATAATACATGTTTAGTTGTYTTCTCTTCGTGTTTTTACTTTGTTCRCCTCTTCTTTCTCTTTTGGTTTTTCTCGTGTAGTACATAAATTATCTTCCTCATACCTACCACATKATGGAACGCAATCAATTCGTGTTGCTGTGCAAAGAACTCTTTCAACGTTTGATTTCCGTAAAAATCAAAACGTATGCATGTAAGTAATATTGTGATRATCTTATTTAATCTAATAAAGGTATTCAGTAGAACTCAACAATAATTTAATATTATATTATAAATTGCCAATATAGTCTAATAGTATTGTTATTAATATATTATTTATAATATCAATGGTAAAATGGTATGTACTGATGGTACGGTTTAACTTTGTGAAATGCATTCTATATTTCTATGCTCACTTTCGCATCACTTTCCATCGAAGAAGCTGGCACCTAATTTAATGTAGTGCTACCAACTAACCGACTACGTCTGATACACGCGTTTGTTGTCTCTCAATAATAAAATAATAATGATACAATATTAAAATATAATATACCTTAGTTAGGCGTTGGCACAATTTCTGCAAGAACTGATAGACTTTGTCATTTTTATTTRAAGTAAATAGTGAGTAGGTGCCTATTAAAAAATACAATATTAATGAATCATTTTCTAATTTCAATTTATAAAAAACATAATCAAGACAATACGTCAATAGGTCATGATATGTTTTTTATCGTGAAGTATAGGTATAATACAATAGTATATTATATGAACCCTGAAAAGATAGTTAACAATTATTGTAAATATCTAGGTTTATGCTTAATATTGTTCCTACCTATTGATTATATTAAGGTCAAAATTAATTCCATTAACACCATTCCATCGATGGTTTAGACTTAGAATAAGATACGATTATACGACGTTAACAAACAGTCAGTGGCAAAARATTAAAATAGCTTCGGGAAACTAATATTTTCAAAATTTCAACGTGTTCAATGCCCATCAAAGGCTCAAACGACTTTATCGATATAATATTTATAATTAATACATTTTGGTAACTACTAGCTACTATCTATATATACTGGCTATACTGAATAAATTTCTCCTACTTAAAAGTTAAAGTGATAACAAATATCAYAGAAAATATGTTCCTAATAAATTTTTCATAGTAATATAGAAATATTAAAGGTATYCTTATAAGGGTTTCATTATACCTAAATAATAATTATTTTATGCTGTGTTGCACAAACAATCATTAAACATATAATGAATCAGTAATTGATCTATTAAATTTAAGTAAATCATTTTTAATTAATTAATTTTCAATAGTCTTTATTATATTATAATCAATTATTTAAAGATACTACCAGCAGCTACCTGGCTATCATATAATATCAAAAATTAATAAACTTACTCAGTATGCAAACACGTGAATACCTACGTAATTTACAATATGTATTTATTTATTTTATKAGTCATCTTAATGATATCAATTTTATCATATAGTAGCCTGTAGCCTGCAGCCTGCAGGTATTAAAATATTAAACATAAATAGATAAGTGTTTATTTAATTTTTAGAATTAAAATCATGATATGTAACCATAATAATTTKTATTGGTTATTACAATTAAAAGTTTAAGTATACCTACTTAAATGATAAAGTATGATTACCTCCCTYGGCTCCYTCCTCCTCRCACTATAATCTTTAGTATATTAATAATAAATGTTATTATTTAAGTATTAATCCACTTATTTTTCATTTGTATGAAATTTACTTCTTTAGTTATATGAATGCATACWGGGTATTTTATTGAAATTTAGGTTAGTGCAACATTAAAACGTATGTAAATATTAAATGATATACATATAATATAGACATATGAAAATGGGTCAAATGTCAATGTTTCTATTTGTATAATTATAGGATGGTGGATGAATTATTATATTTTAATAAATTTGCAAATTAGTGTTGTAAAAGTTTGAARAATAACAAATTTATCAAATATTTAAAAATGGTGGAGTTTTTTTTTACGTGGGTTGGATTTACATTAATATTTTATGTAGGTAATACWTTTACGCAGCATTATTAAATAAGATTTACATCGAATTTTGTATATACATTTTATTCGGCTATATAAATATTAATTATAAATTATAAATTTAYATGCTAAATAAACACATAAATCTACCTACCTACTATACGAATGTAAATTATTTAAACACTATTTGAAATTTAATTTAGTATTTGGTTTCACAATATATAGGTACATCGTACATTGTTAGTTTTATCAACTTGAAGAGTAAGTAGACATTTTGATATTTACTTTAAGAGGATGTCTGCGCAATATTTGTTTTCTTTCTCAAACCCACGTGCTATACAAATTTCCGAGCGAGAGAACAAACAGTGCACTGACATCTTTTTGAGTTAAATCAGTCTCTTCAGTGTAGAATATTTTTTTTCATAATATTTATGCTRGGGATATTTATAAATTATCAGTTCAGCAGTGCATTGAGGGCCAGGGTGTGGGCTTTTTCGAAAAAAAATCATTATAGATGTTTTAAAATGGTGTAATAAAATTATAATATTCTTGTGGAACTGAACTAACAATCTGC